TGGGAGGACATAAGGAAAGGTGAGTAAATCGGACAGAAAAATCAGAGTATCCATTACTTACGATGCTTGCATTTGCTGCAGATCTTCGCGAGAGCCCCTCCTACTCTCCCCTGCTGTCTGGACTGATTGATTCTGCTGGCTGCGTATGCCATTTGTCTGGACTGCTGTCTCCAACAGCTTCACAGACTCCTCCTGCGTTTGGGTGGACGTGTCAGAGTGAGGTTGGCGCCTGCAGGGCGAGCCAATGGGCGAGGATTGCCTGTCTATCAGCTGCACTGCTCTTCGCATGGCTGGTACAGGAGCCATAGTTGCCTCCGTATTGGCTGCTGGCACCGTTTCCTCCGTATTGGTTGCAGCATCCACTGTGGCGCAGGTAGTCGTTTCTCCAGTGTCCTGCAAGCCAAACAGAGCCTGTATGGTCTGCCAGTGCTCCGAATCCGTGGCCTGTCGCACTCTCACCTCCGAAAACTCACGCTGCAGCTCCTCCAGCTTCGTTTGCAGGCTCTCGCAACGCTGTTCCAGGAGTTTCGATTGAGTTTCAGACTTGATAAGCTTAATCAGCTGCTGGGAGCTATCCTCGTGTGGAGTTAGCTTCGATTGCACTGCCTCAAGTACCTCTCGGATAACGGCCGAGTGTTCTTCCTTCTGCTGCTGCTGGTGCTCCTCCAAACGCCGCTGGAACTTATGGTAGGCGAACACAAAGTTGGTGAGGAAGATCAATGGTGTAAATTTGGCATATTTCTCTTTCAGTGCAAACAGCGAATGCTGTAGGAATCTGCGGGAAGAAAGGTTTAGTCTGTAATTTCATTCTAAAGAAAATGTTGATAGTTTTTACTTTTGTTTGATGTCACTATTGCTGCGCTCTTGCTGGAAGTCTTGTTGTGCCTGCGCCATCGAACGCTCAGTGGCTGTCAGTTGCGATTGCAGACTGTCGGACTTTAGTTGGATTTGTTCTCGCTCTGCCTCCAAGCGGGAGACCTCTGTTTTGACTGTACAAGAGACAGATGAGAAAAAACACGAAGGGGCTAATGAGAATGACTCCCACTTACCACTATCTAAATCTCTTTGGACTTTGGCTAGCATTAGCTTCTCATTGGAGCTGCTCTGCAGATCGGCCACCAAATGCCGCAGACTGATGTGATTGTCGGTGATGTCATTGAGAAGCTTTTGCTGCGAATGTATCTGCCTATTGGCCACGGACAGGAGACCCTCCAGTTGCGTTATCTCCCGCTGCAGTTCCGCTTGCTTGCCACGCCAGGCGGCCAGTTCCTGTCGCTGATCTTCGTACTCCTTGGCTGTCACGTAATCCAGTTGATAGTTGTCCCTAATGATGCCATACTCCGTGCAGATATCTGGCAGATTCAGTTCGCCCAGCAGCTGCTCCGTGGCCTGGCCCAGCTGCATGCACAAAATAGCATTTCGTTGCTCCAGCTGCTGGTGCTCCTCGGCTGTGTACAAGTGCCGGCGATGCACATCATCTAACTCAGATCGATAGGCGGATAAGTCTGCCTGTGCTTGCTCTAGTTGCCGCAGCAGCTCGGACTTATCTTCAATGAAGCGCAACTCCTGCCGCCGGGATTCTGTGAGTAGTTGATCATATTCCTGTCGCATATAACCATAGGAACTGCTATTCTTCTCCAGCTGCAGCTCTAAGCTAAGCAATTGCACATGCAGCTGCTGATTGTGGTTCAGCAGTTGGTTGCCATCGGCGGACATGTGAAGGCGCAGCTCTTCGTAATGCTTTCGCAGCAGAGAGAGTTCCAACAGCTGCTCTGACTTGGGAGCAGCCTCTTCTACATCCGCAATGATAGGACGTTGTAGTCCAATGGTTGCTGCTGTGGGCGTGCTGGGACGAGTGGCAGTGTCGATAGCTGGAAGCGCCTGCTCCTGCTCCTCTTGATGCTCCTCCTCGGGCATCTCTGGTACATCGCATAAACTTTGCACAGAGGAGAGCTCTCCCGTCTCCGATTCGCTGCCATTTTGCTGCAGCAACAACTCACGCAGTGCCTCTTCGCGTGCCTTTAGCTCCAACAGCTGACTTTGCAGACGTTGTGGCGTGGATGTGCCACTGGGCAGAGCTTCGATGAGGCGTCGCAGCAGCTCCGAATCGATGGTAATGTGCTCCGAAGTGGCTGCCAAGGAAACGTATTGAAGTGGAGAAGTTTACAATGAGATCCGAGCTCTTACCATCGTACTCGCGCAACTTCTCCAGGATCTCGTACATGCCAATGCGCAGCGTTTCGTTTTCGGCCAGGACTTCATCGTACCTGCTTTGCATCTCCGTGCTGGCTGCACCGTCTCCCTGTCCGCGTCGTGGCGATTTCTCCAGGGGTGTACTCGAGGGCACTTCCCCCACCTCACTGGGCTGTGGCAGGGAATCATCCAGCGCATGTGGTTCACCGCGATGTAGCTCCAATAGCTTTCGCCTGTTAGGACACATGTGAGGACTAATCAAAGAAGGAATCAACGCACTCACCTTAGCTCGCTCTTTTCCAGCTTCAGCTGCAGTCGCAGCTCCTCTGAGGTGCGCAGCTTCAGCATTAGTCTCTCGATCTGCTTGTCCTTGTTGCGCTGCTTGGAGCGCGTATTCTTGGCCAAAATCACCACGTCCTCCGGGATCTTCAGTCTGCGACGCAACAGCTCGTTCTCCTGCACCACTTCGTTGAGGGAATTGAGCTCCTGGACATAGGTTCGCAGCTGCTTTTCTCGCTCCGCTAGTTTCTGTTCGAGGCCCGAGCAGCGACGCAGTGCTGGCACAAGGCCATCCTCTCCACGCTTGTACGATTCGAGGGCACTCAGGGCATGCATTGCCTGCTTAGACTTCATCACATTGTCCTGCTCGGAGGCGTCTAGCATCTCGGCGAGCTGTTCGCAACGGGCTTGCGTCACAGCGAGACGTTCCTCGATCATCTTGCAGCAAGCACGCGGCTGTTCGGGATTCTGGGAGCGCTCTCGCTCGGCGGTAAGCTGCTTCATCACCTTCGTGAAACTAATCATTTCCTCAGCCATGGACTTGATCTTTGCTTCTAGCTTTTCAATGTGCTTCTCGCGGGTCTCGAGTATCTACAGGACAAAGAATATAATCGTAGATCAAAAAAGAAAGAGATGAACTTACATTTCGGAGCTTCATTTGCTCCTCATCCTGCTTGCTCTGGCTGATCTTTGGGCTGGCAAGGAGTGTATTCCTGCCCGTGGCCAACTGCTTCGTCAGTCGCTCCACCTCTTTGTCTTTGTCCTGCAAAAGTTTTTTCCAGCTGAGGCATTTGTTCTCGAACTTGTCCAGGAACTGACGCATCTCCACTTCATGCCTCTCACGATCCAGTTCGAGGAACGTGATATTGCCCTCTAGTCGTGTGATCTCCAGGCATTGCTTTTGCTCCTTTTCCTTGAGAGACTTACGCTCCTGCTCCACCTCTGTGATGTCCTCGCTTAGCTGCAGCAGATTGGCCTTGATGTTCTGCAGCTCTCGCTCCTGTACGGATATCGTTTTGGATTGGCTAATGTTCTGATTCTGGAGCGTCTGTAAGGAAAGAAAGTTTGGGCATTCACTGATTGGTTTTTACACGCTTCACTCCACTAACCTCAATCTCTTTTAGCAGCCGCTTGATGTGCTTGTTCTTGGTGTCGATGTTCTGCAGCAGCGTACTCTGTTTGTCCAGCTCGGAAAGCGGATCGGAGGAGTCCTTATCGCTGGCCTCCGCCTGCTGTGCGGCCTCCCTGAGACGCAGCTCCAGCTGCCTGATCTCCTCCCCCAACTACGGATTCAAATGGTTAAACTTTTCATTAGACAAATCCTTGGATTGAGCCTAAACTCTCACCTCGTTTGTCTTATTTTTCAGGCCATCGCGTTCATCCTCCAGCCTCTGCAACATTCGCTTGAGTTTTTCGTTTTCGCCCTGGAGTCGTCCGCCAGTGGCACCGCCCTGTTCCAGCCGCTGTGCCTGAGCCGCCTGCTCGCCCTTGTACTCCAGCACGGCCAGCGTCAGTTCTAGTGTCTTGCGTAAGGACTTTCTGGGCAGCTCGTCGAGCGTCTCGGCCAGCTCTAGCAGCGTCTCGTACAGCTCCTGCTTCTGGCGCGCCGTAAAGTCGCGGAACTTGCGCACAGATACAGTCTCCGGTATGTCCATGCTGGTGCTGGCTCATGGCCTCGCGCTTTGGCGGCTCTTCTCGTTCTGAAGTTCACAATTTTCGCTGATTTCACGGGCTACTAATGCTCTCTACCGAAAGCGCTGCTGATTGTTTGTAATTTTCTCGGTTGCCAGGTGACAGGTGAGTCAAAACAAACTCCGCTCGCATTGAGGGTTGACTCACACTAGTCCCGTGCTCCGGAAACGGGGTTGCTGCTGCTGCCTGTGAAATGACCCACCGTTTGTTTTTGCTGGCATTTTGTTTTGCTACCTGCGTTCGGTGGCGTTGCGTTGCGTTGCGCTGTGTACACGTTTCCTGACAGGATAATTGCCCAAAAGAGGCGAATGCGCTCGCTCGCTGTGGATCCTCCACGAACTCCTTCCACAATTGATTCGTGGAAGGAGTGGATTGCTGCTCCTCCATAAACAAAATGGCAATCGGTAACCAGGAAAGTGTTAATTGGCAAAGTGTCAAAGTACAACAAAGGGGGAAAAGCCTCTGAAATTGAAAAGCTATTTCAAAGTTTGGCTGTTTCTGTTGGCAGCTACAGCTCCTTCTCCTTCTTCCTCCTCTTTTGGACAGCTCGTTGAAGGCCTTGGCTGCCAGGCCTCCCAATTTTTGTCAGACATTTAGGTACATTTGTAAGAATAATTGAAACTAATGGCAAACGACTTTGGTTACCCTCCCATTTGTGGAATCTCCTTGTATTCTCGCTGTGAACGACTGCAGTTGTAAGCCGCAGCGCCCGAATAATTGAAATGATATTTCAAATGGCCAATTACCAATTTTGGCTCTTTATTTAAACTGAATGAAACCCTTACGCCCTTGCTGTTGCACCATAAATGTTCACAAACTAATTGAATTTCCATTTTTCAGGCACACAAATCTGGTTGGTTCTTGGCATCAATTTGGAGTAGCATTAGCTCGTAGGTTACGAGTGTGGCCATCATCTGCAGAGAAGTTATGGCAACAATTAAATGTAATTGTCAAGCAATCATGCCCAAAACTTACCCCAAAGAGGCTCTTGCGTGTGAGGTAAAACAAGCGATAGCCCGAGAGTCCAACGAACTCTGCGGTTAATTGACTGACAAACCGCTGCACCTCCTGTGTCCAATGAGTGCTGGGCACTAGATAAAGCGTGCGAAGTGGCAGCAGCGAGGCATCGTGTATCTTGGAGGCGGACATAAAGACAAGGCTAGTGCGTGCCAGCAGGAAGAGCAGCGAGTACCAGAAGTACACATAATTAATTGGGTGGCGGAGTTTACTGCAGCATCGGAAAGGAGATCAAGAGTGGCACAAACTCTAAGTGTTAATGGTAAAACTCACGTGAAGATGGCCAGTGCTTGATTGCAAATGACGTAGACATTGTTTGCACAGGACACAAACACAATGCTGGACATGCTGGCATCCACGAGAGTGGCCAGCTCACAAAGACGTATGTGATCTCGGCGTATATCGTACCACAGGGCATCCGGCACTTGCTGAAATCAAATGCTACATAAAAATAGATGCAGGAAAATGTATGCTCGATTATCCCACTCTATCTGTCAATGCCAAAATACGATCTGCAAACTGCTGAAATCGCTGCGCCAGACCAATGCTCGTGAGCACTATAAAGATGTCCATAAAGTTCCACAGAAAAGTAAAGGCTACATTTAGCCACTGTCATTGAAGAAAGACAACAATTAATAGAGGGAACAATTAACATCAGCAAACGAAAATCCCCTACAAAGCCATAGAACAAAGAGAACATATTGTGGGGCAGCAGCTCAAATATGTCCGAGAATTCCTTCTCCACATAGGAGCCAATCGACACACGCGATTGATTCGTTTGACAGTGAAAAATATGCATGTAGCTGTAGTAACCAGAGGCATAGTATAGCACGTGATCCGCTGGAAAGGAAAGGCATAATAAATGAGGAATCAACTGGAGCAGAACTCACCCACTGCCATAGCACCCACTACACAGCCAATGAGGCGTAGCTTAGATCGAAGACTGTGCTTGCACGGAGCATAGGGAGGAAACTGCATCATAATGTCCAATGAACTCCAGGGCAGAATGAGCTTGGACCAGGAGCGAGCGAAGCTAATAAAGTTCAACCAGTTTACGATGCCCACAATGAGGAAAACCAAATTCACTGCAAAGGAACACACAATAAGAGAATTTATGGTGAGGATTTCCACTGCTCACTCATATTCTTGGCATTTAGACCCGTTTTAAATAGAATGTTTGCCTCCATTAGTGTTTTGATGCCTCCCAGCAGCAAGAACAATCCGGTGAAGCACATTCCAATGCTTCGAATGCGGAACTTTACATCTTGTGGATCCCGGCTGAGAACATTCGAAAGGGGCATGATGCCAAACACTTGTGCAACACAGAGATCTGTACACAGATAAAGATATAAAGATCACTGACAGTTCAGAAGGAGTGCATTACTTACATGGCCTGATTGCACGATAGAAGGTATCCAGCTCCTTGAATTCTTTGCCGCCTTTGGCACAACGCCATGTCATGGCCAGGACAGTGCGTTGCTTTTGCCGTCGCACCTTTAAGCGCTTCAGGATGCCAACCGCTGCCGCTGACATCTTGCTCAAGTGTGAACAGCAGCTAATCCAAGAGCTGTGTCTCATAATTATTGTTTACGGATACAGCTCCCAGATGCGGACATGCTACCCCAAGCCTGTAATTAGGTACCAACAAATCGGCAGTTCAGAGGCGAACAATCTACGAGTATATTTTGTATTTTGCACTTCGTGTAAGCCTGAAGTTTAGTGCGAAAACTGTCGCCGACATGGAAGGACCTGCCTTAACGGCGGCAGCCAAAAGGAGGCATGAGTCACTGCTGAGGACTCTGGCACACCCGACGAACACTGTGCCGAAGCTGGCGGATGATACGACCTTTGAATTCAATGTGATTGCCAGCGAAAAGCTGCCAGAGTACGCTCAACTGGATCTCTTTCATCGAGCTGTTTATCCATGTGAGTAGGGTCCAGTTTTCCCTCTGATTTGTTTCTCATTTCTCCACCTAGTCATGCTGCTGGCTCAATTCTTTGCTGTTATGCCTTTGATTGGCATACGGCAGCCCAATCCACGAAGAGTTCGCTTTGCCTATAAATCGCTGCCCATGATCGTTACCGTCACGTTTATTGCCGCTACTTTAACATTACTTGCTGCCATGCTCAAGCACTTGCTGGAGATTGGCATTAATGCCAAGAATTTTGGTAAGAATACATCAATTTCAAATAAGATATATATGTAATTATTATTTAATTTTTGAGTGGGTCTTGTGTTCTTTGGCTGTGTGCTGCTTGCTTACTTTGTCTTTATTCGTTTGGCACGACGTTGGCCCCATCTCATTCGCTATTGGACACGCACGGAGCTGGTCTTCAACAGAGCGCCCTACGAGATGCCCAAAAGGAATCTATACAAGCGCGTGCAGCTGGCTGGCTTGATGATTATTGGTCTGTCGATCGGTAGGCGCTTCTGGGAGATGGGCTTGAGTATTCCACTAATCTATTTTCCTTCCCAGGTGAACATGCCATGTTTCAGATTTCAGCAATTCTTACCTACAAGCGACGAATACAATTGTGCTCTGCAGCGGCCAACGTTACCGCTGTGACAAGCTTCGAAGACTATGCGAGAACGAACTATGATTATGCGTTTCAATGGCTGCCCTACAACCCCGTCATGGCTGCTTTACTACTGGTATGAAATCTCGAGAGTAGTCTTTAAATATATCCTTAAACTAATTACCATTCCTTAGCTCATCAATGGCGCGTGCACTTTTGTGTGGAACTACATGGATCTGTTTATAATGATGGTCAGCAAAGGACTTTCCTATCGCTTCGAGCAGATCACGGCACGCATACGCAAGCTGGAGCACGAAGAAGTGACCGAATCCACGTTCATCGAGATACGTGAGCATTATGTAAATATGTGCGAACTGCTGGAGTATGTGGACAGCTCCATGTCCAGCCTGATACTGCTCTCTTGTGTGAATAATTTGTATTTTGTTTGCTATCAGCTTCTTAACGTATTCAAGTGAGTGCTTTCCCTGATCTTTGCTCTTCAGTACTCTGCATAAATGCGTCGTTTATCCCTCTACAACTCAGCAAACTCCGCTGGCCCATCAACTACATTTACTTTTGGTACTCTTTGCTCTATCTGATTGGACGCACGGCCTTTGTGTTCCTCACGGCAGCAGACATCAATGAGGAGTCGAAGCGTGGTCTGGGCATACTGCGACGAGTGTCCAGCAAGAGTTGGTGTGTGGAAGTGGAGCGTCTCATATTCCAGATGACCACCCAAGTGGTAGCTCTGTCGGGCAAGAAGTTTTACTTCCTCACGCGCAGGCTTCTCTTTGGAGTGGGTAACCCTGAACCCCCCATAGCGAATTTCTACTTTATGTTGACACTCTTTCCCCTTTTTATCTGTCATTTTAGATGGCAGGAACCATTGTCACCTACGAGCTGGTTCTACTGCAATTCGATGAACCCAATCGTCGCAAGGGTCTGCTGCCCTTGTGCGCCTGATGGCAAACAACATGCACTCCCCCCACAACATTTCTCGACATTTGTCATGTCAGCTGCCAGGAACAGGCGGTGCTGCAATTAGTTTTAAATACTTAGTTGGTAAATTGCAAATCGTAAACAACAATCACGCCCACGCCGCCGCCAGATTGCCACTCGAGTGTCCGTCCAGTGATAGTTTGGCCATGCCGCAGGGCGAAACATTCCATCGGGCTGTCTCGAAAGTTCTTTTTATTTCACAAATCTATGGTCTGCTGCCTGTCAGCAATCTACGCGCCCTGGATGTGGAGGATATACGCTATCGTTGGCTGTCCCCACGCATCTTCTACTCTGCACTCATCATAGCAATGAATATCTGTGAATTTGGAGCCGTTTTAAATTACGTAGGCCAGGTGGCCATTAATTTTCACAACTCTAGCACGCTGTCGCTGTATGTTGTCTGCCTGTTGGAGCACTTTTTCTTCTGGCGACTGGCTGTCCAGTGGCCCAGCATCATGCGAACGTGGCATAGTGTGGAGCAGCTCTTTCTGCGCGTACCCTATCGCTTCTATGGGGAGTACAGGATGAAGAGACGCATCTACATTGTGTTTTCAGTGGTCATGCTATCAGCTTTGGGTGAGTATTGGCACTATCCTTCTCCAGCTAATGCTTATTCTCTTACCCTCCAGCGGAGCATTGTTTGCTGCTCACAAACTCCTTTCATCTCAGCAACATGGAGCGCACTCAGTGCAAGATCAATGTCACCTACTTGGAGAGCATCTACAGGTGGGAGCGCCCACATTTGTACATAATTTTGCCCTATCACATGTGGATGCTTCCATTTTTGGAGTGGATCAACGAGACGATTGCCTATCCCCGCTCCTTCACCGACTGCTTTATCATGTGCATTGGCATTGGCCTGGCCGCACGTTTCCATCAACTCTATCGACGCATCGCTGCTGTTCACAGGAAGGTCATGCCAGCTGTCTTCTGGACTGAAGTGCGTGAGCATTATCTGGCACTCAAGCGTCTGGTGCGTCTCTTGGATGCCGCCATTGCACCGCTTGTTCTGCTGGCATTTGGAAATAACATGTCCTTCATATGCTTTCAACTGTTTAACAGTTTCAAGTGAGTTTAGGTGCGGTTCTACGAGGCGTCTTCTGATGGTTTTCTTCAACAGAAACATTGGCGTGGACTTTATGGTGATGCTGGCCTTTTGGTATTCCCTGGTCTTTGCCGTTGTGCGCACTCTGCTGACCATATTTGTTGCCTCTTCAATTAATGATATTGAGAGGAAGATTGTTACGGCACTGCGGGATGTCCCTAGCAGGGCATGGTCTATTGAGGTGGGAATAGATTTAAGTTGAGAGAGACTTCTTTCATCCAAGATTTTCTGTTGCAGGTTCAGCGTTTCAGCGAGCAATTGGGTCACGACATGACAGCCTTGTCTGGCAGTGGCTTCTTCTACCTCACACGCTCACTTGTACTGGCTGTGAGTCGTACCAGACATCTGTCCATTGCAATGACTCAACCAAAGTCTTTCTTTGCTTACAGATGGGCACCACCATTATAACGTATGAGCTAATGATATCGGATGTGATCAACCAGGGCGGCATCAGGCAAAAGACTCAATACTGTAGAGAATTCTAAGCTATAAATTCGTTAAATTCAAGAGCACGATTAGCCATAAGTGTCACACAGCCCCATGCAATGCACCTGCAGCACAGCTATTGAGATTCTAATCTGCGAAATACAAGGCTAAATGTTAAACGAAATGCTACCGCCCACTTGTTTGTGGTCCTGGGACACGCTCTAAATCATTTTCCACTCAACAGCGAAGCCATGAAGCAGGTCGCGACCAGGAGTAGGGATAAAAACACGCTTCAGCATGCCATTGGACCATGTGAGTGCACTCAGATTTCCCTTGTAGATGGTTTAATCTTCCAATTTTGTAGTCCTGGTGGTGGCACAGTTCTTTGGTGTAATGCCAGTGTCTGGGATCTGGCCAAGCTCACCCGCGAAGATGGTGCGCTTTCGCTGGTTCTCCCTGTCTTTTATTGCAGCCATTGTGATATTCGCCTTCTCCATTATGGACTGCGGGCTGTCCTCCAAAGTGGTGCTCGATTATGGCCTAAAGATCTATACCATAGGTGGGTACAAAATGATCTTTGAGCATCGTCTAACATTAATTGTGCTTCCCCTTCGTCAGGTTCCCTCAGCTTCAGCGTGATTTGCATCTTCTGTATTGGAGTCTTTCTGCAGGTGTCCCGCCGCTGGCCGCATCTCATCCAACGAACAGCGGAATGCGAGCAGATCTTCATGCAGCCCGACTACGAATGCTGCTTTGGCCGTGAGTTTAGTCGTCGCCTGCGACTCTGGGGAGTGATTCTGCTCGTGTCCGCCTTCTGCGAGCACTCAACCTACGTGGGCAGCGCCCTGTACAACAATCATCTGCAGATTGTCGAGTGCAAGCTGAATGTGAATTTTTGGTTGAACTACTTTCAGCGCGAGTGCCAGCAGCTCTTTCTAGTGCTTCAGTTTTCCTCTTGGTGGATACCCTTCATAGAGTGGACCACCCTCTCGATGACCTTTGTGTGGAACTTTGTGGATATCTTTCTCATTCTGAACTTTCGGGCATTGCAGATGCGCTTCCAGCAGATGCACTGGCGCATCCGCCAGAATGCCTTTCAGCGTATGCCAAACGAATTCTGGCAGAGTGTGCGTGGCGATTTGTTGGATCTGAATGATCTGCTCAGCCTCAACGACAAGGAATTATCGGGACTTATAGTCCTCTCCTGTGCCCACAACATGTACTTTGTGTGTGTGCAGGTATATCACAGTTTTCAGTGAGTTTTTGACATACATACTTCCTGCCAGAAATCCGTAAGTCATTCATTCTCTTTCCGCCTAGATCGAAGGGAAACTATGTGGATGAGCTGTACTTCTGGTTCAGCCTGCTGTATGTCATTTTGCGGGTCTTAAACATGATGTTTGCTGCCTCTTCCATACCGCAGGAGGCCAAGGCCATATCGGACACGGTCTACGAAATACCCACGGAATTTTGGAGCGTGGAACTGAGGCGCCTAAATGAGATTTTGATCTCGGAGAAGTTCTCTCTCAGCGGCAAGGGCTACTTTTTTCTTACACGACGGCTAATATTTGCAGTGAGTGGGGGGAATTCTCAAATGGAATGTGATTTTCCTCTAATTAGTCTTATCTTTCAGATGGTTGGCACCTTAATGGTTTACGAGCTGGTGCTGATAAATCAAATGGCTGGAACTGTGACCCAGAAGAGTTTCTGTGACGGCGGTGTGGGCTCCTCCAAGAGCGTATTTGCCTAATCGGCTGCCTGTCTGTTTTGTTTGCTTTGGATTTCTCGCACTTATCTGCAAATATTTTTGTAATGGCACACATTAGATCCTATCTAACATCAATCAATACAATATATTGAGTTCCTGAGAATGTTGCTCTGGCTGTGTGCACCCATTTGGGGCAGCCATTTGTCTGGCTCCAGCCTTCAAATGGAGTGGACTCCCGCACAGAGTTCAAATGGGAATACCCTGCACCATGCCATTGGTTATGGTGAGTGCAAATCGGTGAAAGGAATAACCCTAAAGGATAGATCTATTACAGTTCTGCTTGTGGGGCAATTCTTTGGCGTGCTGCCACTCTCCGGAGTGGAACCATCTTCGCCGGTTGGCAGTGTTCGCTTTCGATGGTTCTCTCCGTTGAATCTGCTACCCTTAGCCGTGCTTTGCTTTGTTCTCTTGGATTTCGTGCTGTCAGCAAAGCTTGTAATACACAATGGTCTAAAGCTGTATACTATAGGTAAGAAAAGCCTCACATCTGTGTCATATTATAATTTTCATTTGATTTCCTTGCAGGATCTCTGAGTTTTAGTATAATTTGTATTTTCTGCTTTGGAGCGTTTTTGCTGCTTGCACCACGCTGGCCACACATCATCCGACGAACAACGGAGTGCGAGCGGGTCTTCCAGCAGTCCTGCTACGATTGCTCCAATGTCCGTCGCTTCAGCCAACGCCTGCGCCGCTGGGCCATTGTTCTGCTGGTGACTGCCCTGTGCGAGCATCTCACCTACGTTGGAAGCGCTGTATGGAGTAACTTCAAGCAGATACGCGATTGCCATCTGGACATTGACTTCTGGGAGAACTACTTCCGGCGCGAACGCCAGGAACTGTTCTCCACTTTGCCCTACAACACGTTGTTCGCGCTGTATGTGGAGTGGTGCACCCTCTCCATGACTTTTGTGTGGAACTTTGGGGACATATTTTTGATTCTGATTTGTCGGGGCATGCAGATGCGTTTCCAGCAGATGCACTGGCGCATCCGCCAGCATATTGGCCGGAGCATGAGCGACGAGTTCTGGCAAGAGGTGCGCTACGATCTCTTGGATCTGAACGATCTGCTCAAGCTGTACGACATGGAACTGTCTGGCCTGGTGCTTGTCTCCTGCGCACACAATATGTACTTTATTTGTGTTCAAATCTATCATAGCTTTCAGTGAGTGCACTGAAATCTATCCCAAGATATTCTCTGATTTACTTCTCCTTTTTGCAGAGCCAAAGGAGCATTCTTGGATGAGGTTTACTTTTGGTTCTGTCTGATTTACGTTGTCAGTCGCGCCGTAAGTATGATGCTTGCTGCCTCCTCCATTCCCCAAGAGGCCAAGCAAATCACCTACACGCTCGATGAGGCACCCACAAGCTGCTGGAGTAAAGAACTGGAACGTCTGAGTGAGATTATGCGCAATGAGAGCTTTGCACTCACTGGAAAGGGCTACTTTGTGCTCACCCGAAGGCTGATCTTTGCGGTTTGTTATTGAATTCTTTACTTTCTGAAGCTCTACGATGGCTTCTTGCAGATGTCTGCCACTTTGATGGTCTACGAGTTGGTTCTAATCAACCAAATGGAGGGCGAAGAGGTGCAACGGAGCATTTGCAGTCGCGGTGCTGGCTCCTCAATGAGCATTTTCTTCTCGTAATTTCCTTCCAGCAGTTCCTGTTCGCTTCGCGCTAATGCAAAGTACTTCACGGAACTGTCGGGCTGTCAGCGATTGGCATTTGCACAAAAGATTATGTACAAGATAAGCCGCACAATTGGCACAGACACCATCAATTAGTCTTAGTCGGAACAAGCGCAGCACAGCGCACCCTGCTTATGGCTTGAAGCATTCTTTTGTGTGGTTTTATTCAGTTGTTAGTTGCGCTCCAAGCATGGCCAGGACAACGGGGGATCCAGCCAAGCGATACAAATGTATTGCTCGCATTAAGTTCTGGCGAAGATCGCGAGTGGGCAGCGAGTATGTCTATGAATTTGAGTGATGCCAATATTAATCTGTAATTATTTTTTGATAGTATTACACTGGGTGTCCTCAAGTATAAAGTGACCTCCAGGCAACCGCAACACTTTCAGTTTGCCAAGAGTAAGTGGCATATATATTTCCGAATTTCTGAATAGTTTTCCCTTTGTTGCAGTAAAATCTTTCATGCATCGTGCTCTAAAAGATGATTACAATTACAGCGGCTCCTTCCAAGAGGCCATCAAACCAGGTAAACAGCAATTGAGAGCAATGTTCCTTCCTTACAGTTTCCCTTCTTTTCAGTACTCATTATTGCCCAGATCTTTGCCCTGATGCCTGTACGTGGCATAGGCTCAAAGTTTGCAGAAGACCTGACCTTCGCTTGGTCCAGTTTCCGCACATATTATGCCCTGGCCATGATGATTTTGTTTGGGATTACCGCTGGCTATATTGTGGCCTTCCTCACGAATGTTTCCTTTGACTTTGATTCGGTGGAGACGATGACGTTCTATGGCTCCATATTTATCATCTCAATTTCATTTCTCCAGCTCGCAAGGCGATGGCCCGCCATTGCCCAGGAGTGGCAGGCAGTGGAGGCCAAGCTGCCGCCGCTGCGGCTAGCAAAGGAGCGCCGATCCCTGGCCCATCACATCAAGATGATTACGCTGGTTGCCACCACATGCTCTCTGGGTAAGCATTGTCTCTACTGCCTGATTCAATGAGTATTAATTGCTTTCCCCTTTGCAGTGGAGCATCTGCTGAGCATGACATCCACGATAACCTTTGCAGTGGCTTGTCCGCGCTGGCCCGCTCATCCCATCGACAACTTTTTGTACTTTAACTTCTCGACTGTGTTCCATTTCGTTGAGTACACCACATTCCTGGGTCTGTTGGGGAAAGTGATCAATGTGCTGAGCACTTTTGCCTGGAACTTCAACGACATATTTGTGATGGCCGTCAGCGTGGCACTGGCCTCACGTTTCCGCCAGCTCAACGATTACATGCAGCGCGCGGCAAGAACGGTAAGCATAGGAAGCCATAGGAAATGTTTACTTCTAGAAGCTGTTTCCTCCATTTGCAGGCCACCACAGTGGAGTACTGGATGCACTGCAGAATCAATTTCCGGAATCTCTGCAAACTTTGTCAAGTCGTAGACGATGGCATCTCGGCCATAACTCTTCTCTGCTTCAGCAACAATTTGTATTTCATTTGTGGAAAGATCCTAAAGAGCATGCAGTAAGTTATGGCGGTATATCGTGGCTACTTTTAATGAAAGTTTTACAGAACAAAGCCCTCTGCCTCGCACACCATGTACTTTTGGTTCTCGCTCTCGTATCTGCTGGGCCGCACACTCATTTTGTCACTCTACAGCTCCAGCATCAATGATGAGTCCAAGCGACCGCTGCGTATATTTCGCATGGTGCCCAGAAAGTATTGGTGCGATGAGGTAGCCTAGCAGACAGAACGTCCATTCCGAAAAAAGTAATAATTTCATTTTTATATGCAGCTCAAACGCTTTTCCGAGGAAGTTCACATGGACACGGTGGCATTGACGGGCATGAAGTTCTTTAGTTTGACGCGTGGCGTTGTCATTTCGGTATGTACATGCAGATGGATTATCCTTAGTCATGTCGATTAATTGAATACTATATGTATCTACCATATACCCTTTGCAGGTGGCGGGAACTATCGTGACCTACGAGCTGATTCTGCTGCAGTTCAACAAGGAGGAAACGACGGCGTTTACCTGCTAATGTGGCAAGCTGACAAGGGGAGGAGGTGTGGCCTTTTGTAGTGTAGTTTTATTGTTGTCGCTTTGCCTTAATTATAGAGAGAGAGAAGTGCAAAACAACAGGTGTTTTTAATGGCCATTCTAATTGGCAAATGGAAATTCGCTTTTCTGGCAGTAGTCCTTTGAAGTTGGACAAAGTCGGAACACATGATGAAGTTTCTGCCTGCAAAACTCGAACAAAAGTTCCGGCGCTTAAAGAAGCACGCGAGGTCGCCATTGATGCGAAAGCTGGATGTGATGCACGAAAGGTAAATCGAATAAGAATCGTTAAATTAATCAAAATTGTAACTCCATCCATCAGCGCACGTCAAAAAGTCTTTCAGCAAAAGTGCGATGAATACAAAGATCAAAAGGAGTCCGAGTTTGAGTGTAGGAAACGACCGACAAGTAGGTTTACACCACTCTTCCCCACTTGTTCATCTAATACATGTGAATCTCTTCATAGAAATTCCTGGAGGCTCTAGGGAGACCTTCCTCAGTGATGGCACCTTTCACCAGGCCGTAGGCAGGGTGCTGCTTGTGGCCGAGTTCTTTGCCATGATGCCGGTCAAGGGCGTGACGGGAAAGCATCCGGCAGACCTAAGTTTCTCCTGGCGCAACGTGCGCACTTGCTTCTGTCTGGTATTCATCACCTCCAGTGTGGCAAACTTTGGACTATCGCTGTTCAAGGTGTTAAACAATCCCATTAGCTTCAACAGCATCAAGCCCATTATATTTCGTGGCTCGGTGCTGTTGGTTCTCATTGTGGCACTGCGGTTGGCTCAGAAGTGGCCCGCTTTGATGATGTACTGGCATGAAGTGGAGCAGGGCTTGCCGCAGTATCCATCGCAGCTGGCCAAGTGGCAGATGAGGCACACTATTCGAATGGTTATGCTTGTGGGAATGATGCTTTCCTTTGGTAAGAAATGAGTTTTAGTGATAAATGACTATAAATATGTTTCATAACCACAGCGGAGCATCTACTCAGCATTGTATCGGCCATTAATTATGCTAGGTATTGCAATGGCACTTCTGATCCCATCAAGAATTTTTTTCTGCTCACCAACGACGAGATCTTTTACGTGACCAGCTACTCCACGACCTTGGCCTTGTGGGGAAAGTTCCAGAACGTATATTCCACATTTATATGGAACTATATGGACATGTTTGTGATGATTGTCAGCATTGGATTGGCAGCAAAGTTTCGACAGCTAAACAACGACTTGAGAAACTTTAAGGGAATGGTGAGTGACACAGTTCTACCTCCTCTTTTCTCGTCACTGATTGGTATCTTCTTTTAGCACATGGCGCCTTCATACTGGTCGGAGCGTCGCATTCAATACCGAAGCATTTGCATATTGTGTGACAAAATGGACGATGCCATTTCACTCATCACAATGGTGTCCTTTTCGAACAACCTTTACTTCATATGCGTTCAGCTTCTGCGTAGCTTGAAGTTTGTACAACAATTTCTGATACTTGAAGCTGTTCATTTATGCATTTTCCAATTGCAGCACCATGCCTTCGGTGGCCCATGCCGTTTACTTTTACTTCTCCTTAATATTCCTCATTGGTCGCACGCTGGCTGTGTCGCTGTATTCCGCCAGTGTGCACGACGAGTCGCGGGTCACTCTGCGATATTTGCGCTGTGTGCCAAAGGATTCATGGTGTCCGGAGGTCAAGCGCTTTTCGGAGGAAGTAATCAGCGATGAGGTGGCTCTCAGTGGCATGAAGTTTTTTCATCTTACTCGAAAGTTGGTATTGAGTGTAAGCCTCTGAAAAGATTTTTGCAAATTACTGTATTAATTGAATATTTTTCCATGCAGGTGGCAGGTACTATAGTTACCTATGAGCTGGTGCTCATCCAGTTCCATGAGGATAACAATTTGTGGGACTGCAAACAGAGTTATTACTCGTAATTTGAGAGAACATTTAAGTTTGCATAATAAATAAAAAATCATCTTGCACTTTATTATTATTATTGTTGTTTAAAGCAATTAAAGGAAACCAACAAAATGTCGACCGGTAATATCAATCGGTTATATTGCCTAAATTGTACGTCAGATTGATCATCCATCTATGGAGAGAGATAGAGATTCTTTCTACGTGTGTTCCGTTGGTGTGTGTAGACTCTTTACAAATATCAAACGTTCTTCAAGAATGGTCACTATATGTATCACTTAATGCCTAAGGGAGGGGGCTTCCTACAAATGGTGGAGTACGAGTACGAGTATTACGATTATGTTTGTGTCTGTATGGGGCAACCTACGATTAGCTGGCATGGGGTCACAGTGGTCATCGTGCGGTGGCGAAACAGTTCGGGGAATATACAATATGCAGTGAATGCAAAATTCAGCTAAATATTTTCAATTACTTATGTTTAAATTCAGTTTTCGTTTCGTGTGTCGACTCGTTTTCGTTTCGTTTTTGCAACTACAAAGAAAAGGTAACATGTTCGGAAGTTTTGGTGGTTTCTGGTTGCTTATGATGTCTGTTTTGCCATTACAATATATTATATATTGTATTGTATGAAGCGGAACGGAAGCTACATGATAGTTATGCTACTATGATATCTATATGTTTTGTGTATAGGAATCCTAGGCACATGTCGTCGGATACGCGTGCATGTCCTACTAATACAATTTTCTTCGGCTGCCAATAAAGAACTACAAAAACTTGTTCGTTGTTTTGCTTAACGCTTCCTCTTGCTTCACACTCGCGCGGAGGGGGAAGTTTGGGTATGGGAGAGCTACGTCTGAGAGAAGGCAAACATAAAGTATCACAAAGATTGAGATCTTAAATTAAAGCATAGCGATAGAAAGAGATGAGAAAGAGAGAGCTCACATAATCGTGTAGTGGATGAAGATAGTGAAGTTGGGTATGGGAATGCTTGAAACACAAATGGCGAGTTTTTTGTTTGCGTTCGAATGAAACAAGTCTAGAGAGTATTTTGCAGTTTCTCAATGTCGCTTGGCATCGTACTGCTTCACCTTTTCCGGTATGGCTGCCTTCTCCACAGCCACATGCAGACCGAGCTCCTCCAATGATTTAACATAGATCAGTTTGCGCCAGAACTTTGTGCTGTCAAGAGTATATAAAAATTGCATTTATAAAAAAGGAAATATCGAATCTTTTATGCTCACCTGACAAACGGACGTGCCATCCACACCAAAGACTTGATCCAAAAGGTTGGATGCACTAAATACATGTGCTTCAGACTCTTGCGTAAGCGTCTATCCAGCAGTTGATAGCATCTAAAGGGGCAAAAAGACCATCAATGTTAAGAAAATAGCATATCGTTCCATACATACCGCTTCAGCCATGGAAAGGGCGGCACGTTGCGCCTATTGGAGCCGCCATGCAAGTAAATCAAGACATAATCATCCGTCACCAGTTGCTCCAGGGTCTTCACCACATACAGGAACAGGTTGTCCATCACATAGCTGTAGTCGGCCCGCGATCGATCCGGCAAGTGGCAGGCGCAAAAGATGACTATGGCATTCTGACCGCCAGACTTCAGATAGCCGCCATGTGACAGCACACGCTTGTAGGGCTCAATAACCCGCATGTCAATCTCCCGCGTGCGTCCATCTGGCAGTGTGATCTTCTGCCAGTTGCGTGAGTCGCGCCGCTCCTCGGCAGCCGAATACTGTGGTAGAGTCGCCGCAGCCGGAGTGTGTGGCGTGGGCGTTGTGGCCAGACCAAACTCGAGGTCCAGATCATCGTCATTGTCGGGCAGCAGTTCGGGGCCCTCGCAATCATCGTCATCGTCCTCGCCGTCCAGGCCGTCGATGAGAGAGCTCGAGGGACTCAGCGACGCCAGATTGTGTTCGATATCCTCATCATCGTCGAAGCTATGATTTGAGATGGAGTCCAGGCTTGAGATGTCCTCGCCACCTGGCAGGGTACTGCAGCGCTTCGTTTTCTTGCCATTTGCGTTGGGCAGCAGGGAAACTGATTGAAAATTGGACTCCACAGCAGCGAGATACTGCGAGACATCCGCATCCGACTCGCTGCTAAGGATGTCGGGGCTGTTGGCCCTCAGAAGGCTGACTTTGGCATCCTTCGGCTTGTTGCGGGGGGCTTGTTGGTTCAGTGTGTTCTTCGCCTGCACGGCCGCCTCGGTGGTGGGCACCACGTCGGGAAAGTTGTTCCGCTTGGTCTGAAACGGCTCCGAGTCCGAGTCTGTGTTCGTGGGCGACATCAGCGGATGACTGTTGGCCAGCGTGCGTTCAATGATCTGTCGTTGTGGCATCGTCTCGATGGACAGCAACTCCGGCCGCATTATTCTGTTGTCCAAGGTAGCGCTCGTCTTGGTCGTCTCCTCCAGAATGGTTTTCACCTGGGGCGCAGCGACCTGCGTACACTCATCGGCCAGCGGGGAGATGCCCGTTGAGTCCGTGGGTGTCTCAGAGATGTCCATTTTGCTCTCTGACTGCGAAGATTCCGATTCCGCGTAATGAAAACTGCAAATCGATTAGTCATATATTGTGGGACGGATGCATTGTTTTGTGTGTTGGCGGGGGAGCTCCGCGCTTTACCTCATAGTTCCCAGTGTTATTCGAGTAGCTTGTGTGAAAGTTGGCTTGCCCACTCATCTAGGCAATGCTAGAGTCTCGCTGTGCATCAGCTGTTCTGCTTAATTATTCAGCCGTTGTTGCTTAATTTCCTTTTTTTGTTGTAAACAAATTTTCCTATTGTGGGCCCAATACACGTGGAGTTGCCAGACGTTCCGATATGTGCCCGACAGTGCTGGTAAAATGAAAAGGTATATTTTGGTATACTTCTGAGGTATTTTTGTGCACATTTTTAAGCCGCAATAATGAGGCCGCAGTCCCAACATACATACATCATATGTACATTTCGTACGACCAAAATATAAAATTGTTTAATCTATGAAATTCAATTATATTTTTAGTACTCAGAGTTCTGGTTAGACAGTAATATTAAACGGAATCTCAAAATCACACGTATCCAGAAAACGCACAAAAAATAACAGTGCTTACATTTGTATGGCAAAACAGCCACGCTTTTAGGTATATTTCGGTATTAGGGTCAGGCGGTATATTTTATCGATGAATCTGCGGACACACTGCATTGGTGGCGTCGTGAAAAAAAATAAAAAATTTGTTAAATAGCAGAAATAATTACAAATTGCAATGGACGGCGCACCAATTGTTGTTGATGCCGTGCCTGTCAGCACTGAGAGCACTTCTGTGCCCGTAGTTGTTTCGATACCTACCGTTTCCACCGTGGGCGCTACTTCCGCTTTGACAGCGGCCCCAGCAGCAGCAACAACAACAGCGACGACTGTGGCGACAGTGACATCGACAGCGCCAGCGACAGCGACTGCGACTCCTTTGCGAAATCCAATCCACAACCTTCCCATGGAACTGCAGAATGACCAGAAGCGCAGGAGGTGAGTCTGAGAACAATTATGCAGTCCCCAACATTGCCAAGTAATTGTTCTGTTTTATAGCTCCTCTCGCACCATCAAGCGGAAGCGTTTTGATGATGAAATCGTCGAGTACAACATCACTGTGCCCACAAGTCGTGGAGGCGCAGACCCCGGCCGACGGGACAGGCCACGCCCCAGTTCCCAAAGCTATCCAGCTCTGATGGGAATACCCTCGTCCCTTAATATGCATACAGCACCAATTGCCTTGCCGGAAAGTCCTCAGGCACCCGGAATAGTGGAGGGAATTTTGCCAGGCACACCAAGTGGTACGGTGGCAGCGGTTCCAGCGGTCACGCCCCCCGTTGAAGCGCCAGCCACACCAGCGCCTGTGGTTGCGCAAGTGCATCCAAAGCCAGCGGCGGAACGTGCTCCAGCCACCGAAAAACGTTCGACCCTTCGTGCTGGGCGTCCGCCCAACAAGAGGTCGCAGCGTCGCAATGGCCGTCCCTTGGCACAGATGGCCACCAAGGATCTGGGACGCTGGAAGCCCTGCGACGACATGGCTTTGATCATCGGCATTCAGCAGACGAACGACTTGCGCCTGATCCATCGTGGTGTGAAGTTCTCGTGCAAGTTCACGGCCCAGGAGTTGCAGCAGCGTTGGTATGCTCTGCTATACGAGCCAGCAGTGTCACGGATTGCCGTCTCCGCTATGCGCAACTTGCACCCCGAAATGGTTGAGTCCATACAGCGAAAGGCACCGTACAGTATCCAGGAGGAGGAGATGCTGGGCACCATCAGTAGTGTAAGTAAAGATGTGATATTAATCTCTAGAATATACACGTAATCCTCCCCTGCCTTTCTACAGACGGAAACACCCAAGCTGGAGCACTTCCAGAAGCTGCTCGACAAGAATGCAGGTATCTTCTACTGCGCCCGCACCGCCAAGTCACTCCAAAACCACTGGCAGCTCCTCAAGCAGTACAGCCTGCTGCCGGATCAGGTAGTGCAGCCGCTGCATGGCTTGGAGCAGACGTTGCTGAGCTTCTCCGATGCAGAGGAACAGGTCTTCGAGAATGACATCAACGAGGCACGGGATGAGGCATTGGAACTGGAGGTGGCACTCACGGATCGCCGAAACAAGCGGGACATTCGCGTGCTGGAGAACGAGCTGACGCGTTGGGGCGTCCTGGTGGATTCTGTGCTGGGACCGACGGCTACCTTGGAGTTCGACAGCCAGACGCTGGCCTGTTTGTGCGGCCGCAAGGTGCGCTACCTGATGCGCTCCAAGGAAATAACTTTCGGACGCGATGCCAAGGACTATTTAATTGATGTGGATCTGTCTCTGGAGGGTGTGGCCGCAAAGATCTCACGTCGCCAGGGCACCATCAAGCTGCGCAGCAACGGCGACTTCTTCATTGCCAACGAGGGCAAGCGGGCAATCTTTATCAACGGTACGCCCCTGCTGACGGGCATGAAGACCCGCCTGGCCGACAGCTGCATTATGGAGATGTGCGGACTGCGCCTAACCTTCCAGGTCAACTACGAGCTCATCAATGCCATACGCCATGAGAGCTCCAAGACAGCGAATTCCTTGAACTAGCCTCGCTCCGAGTGTCGCAAAACAAATCTATTCCATAAGTTTAATGTTTAATGTTCACACAAGAAACGAAACAAGTTCAGAATGAATTAACCATCAGTGTAACCTCATAAACTAATGGAACGCCCACGTGCCAACAGTCAACGCCTCCAATCGAACGGAAGCCAGAGTTCTTAGAGGGGAAATGAGTGAATGAAAAAGAGTTCCAATCTCCCGGATTGTCGGCCCACAGTCTGCGAACAGTCTCGTATCTAGCTCATGACTCCTACGCTTCTACTTCTTGGGGCGCCTATGTCATGGAGTTAATTTGTGTCTACTCGTAAGCTGCTATTAATTACAGCTCAGACTCTCGAGAGTGGCCACTAAAACACCATAAACCATCTATCCATAACCATTCTATTCGCATGTCACCATCGCTGTGCGTCTAGGCGGCTTACAAAGCGAATTAAGCAAACAAAGATCCGCGTCTGTTGGGAATTTCTTGCTCACGCGATTGTCTGAGATTGTTCTCAGTTCTGTATGGTCTCGGGTTCCCATCTAACGGGTGGGGGAAGCACATTTAATGGCCAGCGATTGTGTTTGGGCAAATTTGTTCGACCTTGCGAACTCCGCGAACTCTCCCAAGTTCCATTTACAAATTGTAACAGATCGCGTAACAGACTCCAAGGGTGGATTAACTCCCCGTTGGCCAAAGGTTATAAATGATGGGATGCTGTTAAAATAATTAATTAATCGACTGACAGGCGAGGACCATGACACATAATATAGAAATTAGTCGCCAGAAAAGAACACATGGAGAAAGTTCGATGACTTTCTGGCGAGCAACATCAGCAGCAGCAGCAGAAGCGACGGCCTTTCTTCGAGGTCGGATTCTGTTTTGGGTTCGCTTTGGGTCTCGCATCGCTCTCTAATTTGTATTGTTGATACTATAAACTAATAAGCTGTCGGGGCATGCAAGCTGCGCAGCATATTAAAATATAATTAATTGTTGTCACTGTCTATAAAAAGTCAATTTACTTTTTGGCCATACCAAGAATTTCGTGGTCTATCTTGGTCCGAGTCCCATCATTCCATCCCATCTCGGCCCATTCTCCATCTCGCAGCTTCTCCATCTTTCTCCGCTTTGTTTCTCCTGGAATTCCAAATTCTAACGTTGATTTGTGTGCAGTTTTTTGTTCGCCATCTGATCTCAGAGCCAATCGATGGACCTTTGGATGGTTCTGCTGCTGCTGCTGCTGCTGCTTTCTTTTCCCGATGCCCAAGATGATGATGGGAGAGCTAATGAAGCTTGGCTTTGTCTTATTATACCTTTTGTGCAGTTCACCGAACTTTTGTTGTTGTTATTGTTGCTCTTGTTGTTGCTGCTGAGGTGTTCTTGTGGTCCGATATTTTGGCGATGTCGCAACTGCTAAAATTAGTCTGCAGCGCCCGTCTAAGGGGGCTCTCTCTCTTCTCTATTAGCGTAGGTCATGCTGTTTATCCGCTCAACCAAAGTGGAGCACTACATGGGCTCTGATCGGAACGAGAAACTGCTGGTTGGGGCGTTGCGTGGGGGTCACCGTCTACAGATAGAACTTTCACAGCATCGAGGGCTGAGATCACCCAAAATGAATGATATTTTAGGCCTCTCATTGATTGCTCCAGTTTAGGGTGACATAATAGTGCGATTATCTCATTGAATTATATAAAATGAAATAACAAAAGTTTGTCAAAAAGTTTCGTGACTTTGCAGGAAAATGGTCTAAAAACAATCGATGTGTAAGGCCATAAAAATAGGCAACCCACTGACTCCGATATGCCAAAATCCAAGGGGTCTGACAGTCCCTGCCAGTGTGATTATTCAACAACACAGAAAACTCTGTAAAATGGTTTGGCTGCCTTTGATATTCATTTTGTTAATCGCATTTCAATCAATTTCATTCCAATTGTCGCCTGTGGATGGATCGACATTTGTCGTAGACGTGCATGTTCCATGCGTCATGTGAAATATTCAAATTTTGCTTTTGCTTTATCGAGTTTTGCATGTAACGCATAAATAATACACTCCGAGCTCCGATCAACAGCGTCTTGTTCCGCGTCGCTCATACGCACAGTGGGCCGTCAAAGTCAGCGTACGGCGTACTGCGTTGGGTTGGGTGTGCGTTGCATTTATAATTCCCCGTAGTTTTGTTTATTGAACTCGCTGGCAAATATATTGTAGCTCTAGCTTTGGGGCTGTGACTATTCATGGAATGCTCGCTGATTTATTTCAACGCCCGCCCCGTACCCCGTGCGAGTGTGAGGGTTAGGAAAATGATTTCATTTGTGGGCGACGAGCGTGATGTCAGCCAGTCAATGCATCCATGGTGATCGGAACCAGCCTATAGAGCAGCCTCACTCAGTTGTATGGGGGCCTTGAGGTTCTCTGCTCCATTAGACAGCGGCGGCGTCGGCAGCCACTCACCCACGCACTCCACATGACACCACACCACAGCACACTCGTATCTCGTATCTGTGGCGCCAAAATAAAGCAAGTTCAATTTGCAACTCCACTTTCGGGGTCTTAAGATCTCGACAGATACTCAGGCATACTCGTATTTTGTTTTTTTTTTGTTTTTTTTGCAGGCGAGACAAATAATTACAACTTTTTTGATTTTTTAATTAAGTCGAGCTTGAAGTCGAGATACAAATAGATATGGATATATGCCACAAACAACAACAATTGCGCCAGACGTGGGTTTGCTGTTTTATGCTCTGTCTTTTCCTATTTTTCTAATGGATTATGAATTTTATATCCCATATACTCTAGCTGAGAGTTTGAGCAAGTTGGCAAGCGGATTGAAGAAGGGTTCCATTAACCATTTAATTTTTGAACTTTTTTTACCCTTGACAAAAGTGGAACCCAATCTAATCAGACTCAAGGAACCCCTTTTTTTGGAGCAGGGCATTTCTCCCATCGCTCTAACGCATTTGGCCTTTGGCTCCCCTTTGTCTATTGATTATTTGATTTGCTGACTCAATCTGCGAATCGCCCCCAAAAGATTTGTATTTTAAGATATGTTTATTATTCATCCAGCGCCCGAGGGATACATTGAGCGATAAAAATTGCCCAAAAAACGAAAAATATATTTTTAATCATTTTTTAACTGATCGGAAACTGTCGAGAGACTTCACTTCAATTGGGGGCTGGCTTCGCACCTCAAGATCTAACAAATACCAAGGCCGAATGCAAAAACCCTTTCGAAAACAAGATACCTTCCCATATGAGATCGCATCGAGCCCCGCTCTGTAACTTGTTATGCATTATGGAAGAGCACTCTCATAGCTGTGATGTGATCTTTGGACTGAGGTGCGATACTTTGCAATTAGATTTAATTATTCCAAGTTGTTCTACTCACACACATATGTGGGGAGAGGGTAGGGTAGATCTGATGTAAGTTCCAAGAGCCAGGCGGCCGGAACAAGTTCGATTTTGGCGCGTGACAACTGCGGGTGGGCCGAGAGGCGGCAAAGAAATCGGCTTAGCGTACTTGCCCCCAAGCAGATTACTTCTGGCACAGAACCCAACAGACCAAACCATCAGACAGCAGACACTGCTCTGGTCTCAGGCAGCCCCTCTCTGGCTGGCTGACACCATAGACACCGCCGCTCTGGGGCTCTTGTTGATCTGACGATACACGATACACGAATCGACGACTCGAATCGCTGCCGAATCGGCAACTGCTGTGGCTGGAAACGAGCTCCAACCGAATCGCCACAGCCAACCGTTTCTCGATTTGAATTTTTGAAGTTTTTAAACCGTCAACTAAGCGCGCTGCGAATTTAGTGGCAATCGAGCCAGAGAGCTGTACAGACGGACACGAGACGACGCAAAACTTGCACCGCAAAAACGAAACCGAAATCCGAAACCAAAACCGAATCTAAAGATTGCATCTCGTGTGGGTCGGCAATCGGAAGTGCAATTCTCTTCTTCTCTCATCTCTGCTGGAGCTGAGGCAGCCACCCGACTCCACAATCTCTCTATCGCTCTGGAGCGGCGGAACTAATTGTTATTACATTCGAATGCCGGGGATGAGGGTTGCCAAAATTGGCTAAAGATAACGAATAATTCGGTGTAAAAATTGTTAAATTGTGCGTGTGAAGGCAATCGTGAAAGAAAACAAGAAAATTGAAAATTAAGATCTTTGTGCCTCAAAAAAGGGATCCAAGACAACAAGAGAAAACCCAAAATCATGAGTATCTGTCTGGTGAGTGAATAATAAGTATATTTAAACGGCGATAAATTGTGTAGCACTCTCAATGATATCTAAAATCGGCGAATAACAGAGTTGGACAAACATTAATTGTAATTCTTGAATGGTATCTGCATCCCCCTTTTCTGATTTTTGCTTGTGTAATTCAGTGTAGAGCGATGGGGCAGAGTGTCGAGGTCGACCCAGTGTGCGTGTATTGCATTGTACCAAGTGTAGATTCGATTAAAGTCCAGCTGGCGACTTGGTTTCATGTGCACTTGTACTTGGGATAGGTGTAAGTGTGCTAGCAAAGTGTGTGCGAAAATTTGGAGCTTAAATTAGTGTTGCTTAGTGTCTACGCCGACTCGGTGTTCAGCTCATCGCAGCGATTCTTATTCTTCAGCAAATACGTGGCCAAATAGCTGACCGGATCCGTGGGCCTATCCCGGGACAAAGCTTGCATTCCGTGCAGCAGAATGGGACCCACGGTCTGGTCCAGGTACTGACGCACTGGCAACGAATTGGGATCGGGTCGAGGCCGGCGGCAGCTGGCAAACGGTGGAGGTACATCGTCCATCGATTGATCGGACCCTTGGGCGTCAACAGCGTTCAGTCTGGCAAAGTCTGCGCCATCGCCAGCTGCACCGCCGCCCACAGATGCAGCTCCAGGTCCAGGACCAGCTCCACTTGCGGACCTGCGTGTGGCCGGTGCAGCGGCGGGGAGCGGGGTTTCGTTGGCGGGCATCACTGTCGAAAAAATAAAATTTGTTTTTCAATTTGATTACAAATTTTTAAAAATTATTTTCTTTTTTTTACCGATTTTGTTTTAGTTATATTTAAATTTATTTCCGAGTTCTGTTCCGTGCGACTGTTTGGTTGATACTGAATAATCCTAGATAATTGCCAGGCATATCTGAAAATTCTATGCTGAAGTTCAAAGTCAAGGCCTACTCTTTGTAGAGTCAAGTTCCTTGCTGACATCATTGAAAGTTTTCCCACAAATTTCGTATCTCAATCAACTCGTAGCTGGATCGTAAATCCCTCTGGCCATTCATCTATCGCCCATCCATGCGACTGACCTCGCCCCAAACAATTTATGTGAAGTATCCGAAAATTTAAGAGCGTCGCCGGGTTGTCTTCTACTTTGATTTATAGCCAAGCCACTGGGCAAATGCAATTATCTCCCCTGAGTAATTAAGCGGGCTTTTTTGAGGACTGCCCAAGTGCATTGGGCAATTGTCATAAATTGTGGCCCTAATTTGGTTGAAAACTTTGAAGGGGATTCCTCAATCTCTGCCTCATGCAGCGTGTAAGCATGTTCTACAGATTTATTGCCACTTGGTTTTGATATAGAGATATATAGAATGTGCCAACTAAATTGTTTGATTATCTTTGTAAACACTTTTCTTAATTGCCATCTGTAAATCACAAACACACAAATTCCCCGTGCAGCCTCCCGCCAGCACCGTAATACGATAGATTTGTGTATCTGTTTATAAAATAAAATCTATTGAATAATTCATGGGAAGCGATTAACACATATTTCGCTATGAGAAACGTGAAAACCTGTAGTTTTTGACCCATATTAGAGAGATTATTTTGCCAGAAATTTGAATATAAATAGAGAGAGAGACTCGCTGGTTAACGCTATTCTTTAACTGTTTATACGGAGGCCTCAATTGTCTGGAGTTTCAACAGAAATCGTGCATTACACGACGGCTTCCCCCAGATATTGATCTTCCAGTCGAGTGAGAAATGAAAATCAAGAGCCAAAAGCAAAGGTCACTGGCATCGGGCAAGACGAAAGACGAATGACGGATGATGCTAGAGGAAGATGATAATGCTGTGTTCAGATACAAGATGAGTCTATCTATGAGTGTATCTCCATGAGTGGGCAGCAGCAGCACGTGGGCAACATTTTCTCGAACTCAAAAGGGAACTACTTGCGCAAAGATCTTCCGCGAGAGGCACAGAGAAGTGTAGCCAGCTGCCAGATCTTCAAGGCATATGCAAATGAGTTTGTGCCGCTTCCAAAACAAAACCGATATTAGCGCAACTGAATTAATTAGCAAGTGGAATCACTTGCCACATTTTACTTTTATTATTTATGTGACCTTGACGGGGAGATGGCGGTATGGCCGGGACCGGCCCTAACGATTTCTTGGAGTGACAGAAATGAATTCAAATTGTCTTTTGCCATTTTGTTTTACATTTCTCTTCTCTACACTCGAGTGCGGCGGCCAGGCCCAAAAGACAGACTCCAAAGATAGACAGACAGACACCTCGAAGGGGTCCAGTAATTATGCAAGTTTCCCCCGTGAACTCTCCCCCCTTCCGCTGTGATATATAGCCTCTCGTCTCGCCTGGGACTGACTTGTGTTTCTCATGTTTTTCATTTCACAATTACATATTATTAAATATCATTTCCAATGGGTTACCCGCCCTTAGCCTTAGGCTTTCATCTTTTTGGCGTTTTGTTTTCTGCATTTCACGGATACAATTTTTGGCCAATGATGTTGCAACTTTTACGTAGAAATTCCTCGGCATATCTATCCATCTATTTATGGATCTGTGACCCAGTTTCTGCTTGATGGACAGAGCTGGCTAATTTCAGCTTTTATTCTGGGTATTTGCTTCCTCCCACCCTGCATGTGGTTCACACGATTTTGCCCCCAGCGATGGAGATCTCGCAGAATATTTTTGCACTTTTTTTTAATGGCTTTTAAAACAAATTAGAGACAGCTGCTGTTTGTTTTTTGTGCAACTGAATGGGAAGCGGCTCCAAAGGCGGGTCACAGCCATAACTACCGCGCGGGAGGGTCATTCCGCCGAGTGAGTGATGTGGGAAGCGCAACATATGGATGACGATGTGGCTGTGATGGAGGTGCTAACAGCCATAACACCAGAGGTGCAGAGTTGAACTGATTTGTAGGGTATAGCTACACAAATTCGTAAGGAATCCTTCTGCCAGTTCCAGCTCTTTCTTTGAGTATGTTTTCCATTTAACTGTCTAACGCTGAGTCTTGTGGCCCAACAGAAATGACAGTTTGAACTGCCAACAAGCTGCCAGTTGGCTTTTTGTTCGACTGCAAACGAGGCAACGGCAGACATAATGCCCACACAAGAACTGACAGCGCGAAACAATGTCGCCAGAGAGTCGTACCCCTCTCATATCTCATGGGAGTCCCACGCATGTGGCATGAGCTGAATGCCAGATGAGAGGAGTAGCGGCAGGAGTAGCTGTTCCACAGATGCTAATCATTTTGGCATGGCAACGAAAGTATGCCAAAGTCAGGCCTGGCCCTTTTTCCACAATTTTCCAATTACCATTTCGAATTCGAAAGTAAACACACAATTATCACACATAGTTTGGCGTTGGCTTTTTTCAGGAATTTCGTTTTACTTTATTTTTTGCATATAACGCTGACACAGATGGCGCCCCAGCTGTAGTCTTGGTGGGGCTGGGGGGAATGTCTGCCTGCCAAAAATGCTTTTCCCACAGCTGTTTTGCTCGGAGTTCATTTACACGCAGCTCACAAGACATAGACAGTGGCAGTGGCAGTGGCAGTGGCAGAGCTACAGCAAAAGCTGTTGCCACCAATTACTATGATTAATTTCGCTTAATATGTGTGCATCGCGAGTGCTCCAAGTGCTGGCAGCAATTATGAAATACGGTTTAGCATTTGAGTGTGTGGCGGTGGCGGTGGCGGCGGCGGCGTCGGCACTGAAGAAGCCCAAGCTAAACAGTTGCATGCCCGCACGGCGCACACACTTCCCTACCGCTACTTATATGTACCTCCCTCCAACGCCGTGGCTGACAATGAAAATCGACATTAAACAACACGAAAAATTAAAACACGAGCGAGGCGAACAACTTGCATTGCATTGGCCCATGTCGATGGATCGAAGTGGCAGCAGTTGGAGCCTGATCTGAAATTTAATTCGTTGGCAGGCAGGCAACAGGCAACAGGGGGCAGGGGCAGGGGCAGACAGCTAGCCAGCGCTTCGTGCAGCTTTCACTCTCTTTTGGGGCCGAATGTCAACCGTTGACCAGCTCTACACAACACAAAAAGGTTCGCTTTGGTTTGGCTGCGGCTTGGTTTGGTTTCATTTCTGTGGCCCAAAATCCATTTTCTTGTGGGGCGGAGGTTGGGCGCCAAACTGTGACAAATTGGAGCAAAACCCAGAGCCAAAAGCTGCCAAGTGCAGTGCCAAAAAGCGCGGAAACATTTCTGGCGACGAAGCGCGAAGTGTGCAAAAACAAACAAAACAAAAACAAAAGACTCAAGACACGAACTTGCCAAAAAGACACAGAAGAGGATGGATGGATGAGTCAGGCGTCACATCGACTGAATTTTCCACTTGGATAGCACACACTCTGCTACTGTTAGTGCTCTCTGCCTAATGGCAATATCGGCCTTCAGCAGGGAGACCCATTACACAACGGCTCGGCACCAAATCGAGACTCTTTCACGCCTCGAAAAATTGGGCACAGAACACAGCAGAGCCACAGCAGAGCCACAGCAGAGCTCTTCGTCTGCCATTCTTGTGGAGCCCATTATGCAACGCATTTCCATTAAGTGTTCATTATGCAACCCTTTTTATTCCATAAATGTGTCAAACAAAAAATAGATGAAAACTGTCGGAAGCGCCGCTGCCAGGGGTTCCAAAACTCTAGCGGGGCGTGTGTGTGCTGTCCGCCCACGTTCGCCGCTTCTGGATGACCTTGAGGCATTAATGCATGCATCAAGCATGCATTACCATACCCAACACACACACACAGACTTATTACCATTTGTGCTTCAATAATTTGTATTTTTATGATGAACATTTCTTTTGACAGCTGACAGACGGGGGGTTAGTGTGTAGTCCGATGCATGGCAATTGCATGATTATCATATCATATCATACACCTTGTTTGGGGTGATTCTATTCTAGTCAAAGGCATGCGTGACTGCCGGAAAACTATGCGGATTTCGCACTTTACAACCCATAACAGGCCATAACTTGTTCACGCAACACAAAACACAACACACAGAAGGCAGACAGTCTTTTGTGGTATCACACCCCAAGTGCCACAAATATGGAGAGCAGCTGTGGATGGCTTTGCCATGATGCAATGCTGCTGCTGCCAGTCGGTGTTTTGAGTGCAATCTCTGATGCAGATCGAATGGGCAATACCCTCTGCCTGCGAAACAAGTGAAATGTGATCCAAGTGACTTCTGTGCATGGGTTTTGACTGAAACTGAGAAGTATTATTTATAAGAATTAACATTAGAACAGCAGCAGCTGGTTGGCTGTTGTAAAACTGGGTTACTTGAAGGCGTACGAATATGTTTAGTATCCGATCTGATTGAATGGCTTTTCAATGGAACAAACAAGACAGGCAGCAGGCAGGCAGGCAGCTATCTGCGAACTCAGCTGCGTGGCTGGCTGATTTGATTGAGGGGCGGATTCTACACACAGCCCACACACTCTTTTTGCATAGTTAAAGTCTTAGCTATGGGCATGGTTCGACACTCAACGTTCAATTGTATAACCGCTTACACTATTTCTCTCTATGCTCGTGGTGTTTATTGTTTCTGTTGTGCCCCAAGACAAACAGGAAGTGCCACAGCCGAAAAAATACGTTGACCAAAAAAGGCCAAGCGTTCGACTTTTTTCCGTTCGTTTATGTTTTTTTGCAGTTACAAAAAACAAAGCCAAATATCTAATGAAATTTAATACAATTTTGGCTGCCACACAGCTGCTTCCCACCGCCGAAAACTTGGCTCAAAATCTGACAGCGGGCTCTAGTCGGCTCTGGTCTGATCTGTCTGTCAGTCATCCTACTATGTGGGTGTATCTGTCTCCTCCAACTCGAATCTCTTTCGGCATGGATCCAAAGTGTAATTCAATCGTTGTTTCTGCTGTTTCGTTGCTGCCGTTGCGGGTCACATTCTTGGAATCGTTTGTGTCTAATGAAATGTTTCATGAGTTGAATCTATTGTCTCGGATTACATTGAATGCGAACTGCTGCTGCTTTTGCTGTTGATGTCATATGTGGAATGTGAGCAATTAGAAATTATTATTTGCTTGGATGATCACCAGATCAGAGATGCATTTAAGATGAATCATTAAAGATCACACTACTTTATTCTTGCTTAAAATTAATTGTAATTTAAGTTCGACCAAAGTTAAGGCTTGCTTTTTCACAAGTTCGTGTCTTAATTCTCTCGTTTAGGCCTGTAAATACTTTTCTCTGTGTCTCGTTGCTTCATCATCATTAAATAATTATCTAATAAATGCTATAGAATTATAGTTTTTGTTTTTCCATGGAATTATTAGGTGGGTTCATCATTGAATGAATCAGCTGTGTCTCAAGTCTTTCGTTTTCGACTTTTAGGTGGGAGTCTTTCCTCGTGTAGTTTCCACGGGTCATAGACATGTCATGTCACAGGTTTCTTGAATGCCAAACTAATTATGAGACATTCAATTTAACTAATTTAAATTAAATTATAGTTTTAATGCACCCAAAAACTGCTTGAAGTCTGAGGGAAGTCTGAATCATTGTGGTGTTTCCCCAATTTGTATTTTCCATCATAAACTAGATTATATTGCCTGTTAGTTTCATGAGTGCACTCCGCATGCCGGAAGCAATCATCCGCCGCATTCATTATGTGTAAACTGGGAAACGAAAAACCCATCGAAACATGCACTCTCCCAGCTATGCAAAACACTCCCCAAAAACAAATCGGAACCAACCCAAAATCGCAAGCCCAAACCTGTATCTCAAACACCGAACCGAATCGAATGCGATATCCACATGAGTCTCGCTATGAAACCGTATCGATTTGAAAGGGGGTCTGTTTTGGGTGCTTCATTAGCTCTTTGTTCGTGCTCAGAATGCAGGCAGGCAGGCGGCCATCAAATTGCCATTTTCTTTCGGATCATTTATCATCGTACCACTGTCCCATGGCTCTGGTCTGCTCTGTCTTGGTCTGCTCTAGTAAATTCAGAGCAAACTGATCATAATTGAAGTGAATTTTAATTAAAAAACTGTGAGCAGTGGGGCAGTGAAGGTCATTCGTGGGGCAACCAAATTATGGCTTTGTTTCTAACATTTTTTGGCGCAGAATTCTTTGTTCAGTTTTTTTGGGGCCAGCTTTTGAGGTAAATTACAAAAAGGGAGGAGTGGAATGGTGCTCAGAAGGGGGTGTGGCGGGCTTATGGAGCGGAGGAGAGATTGTTGCGCAACTTTTGTTGGCAAGGTTTGGTTGTTGTTGTTGTTGTTGCTGTGTTACCATTCCGACAAGCCACCAAAAATTACAAGAAGAAACGAGAAGGCTGCCGTTCGAGGTCGAAGTTGCGGATACTCTCTAAGAATGATAGATTATTAAAGGTAAAGATAATGATAGATATTGGCAGCTATTGTTGTGCTCCTGGCCTGGCCAAACTGAGCCTCCTTCCTGTTTCAAACACCGCCTAAAAGTCAACAAACTCCTCTCGAAGTGCCAGGGTATTCCTCTGTAGTGTAACAAAAATTGCGCGCCAAAGGAAAACGTGATTTTCCACTTTAGATTTTGTTGTTGTGTTGTTTTTGCTGTTGCTGTTTTCTTTTGGTTTTAAGGCGCGCTCCACACTCTCGCGCCCAAAAGGAGTTCAGTCCAGTCCGCATATGCCGGGAGACGTCTCCAGCGATTCTCACGTAACCGCAGACACTGCCACAACACCAACAATAACAACAATAACAACAGCTTTAGCTGCAACATATGCTGCCACAGCTCCAGGCTGGGATCCCGCAACCGGTTGGGTAACTGGATGTCTGCCGTATTGGGGGCTGCTCTGGCTCTCACTCTGGTTGTGGCACTCCATTGATGGAGCCTTTACGCTCCACGCTGGCTGGCCACTTTTACTCTCGTTTTGGCCAGAGACAGCGGAAATGGCCGCAATAATTTGTTGGCAATTTATTTCATTGCGTTAGCTGATTTAATAAATCTCCAACTCCGATGGATGCTGCCACTAAACACGCGAATGCTCGTACCTAACGAATTATGAGTAGATGTTGAATGGCTTCTTGTCTGTGAGAAAGTGAGGGATAAAAAGATGGAGTAGAGGGTTTCATGTATACCCTTCCTTCCCCTTTAAATATACATTTCATTCCTTTCTTCTGCCATCACTTGTTCCCGAAATAAATTAAAGAAAGTGTTGGACTTCCAGGCTGGCCTTTCTTTCTGCTCTCCCGCTGATGTAATCGACGAAATTTCTTTGTGTTAAACCATAATTAATGATGCCTAGTGTTAACCTGTGACAGGTGTTAGTCATTATGGCCATAAATCAATACGTAAAAGAGTATTTGAATGGGATGTAGGAGCCCAAAGGTAGAACAAAGTTCCACCTCAGCCGCCATTAAAGGAAGTTCATTCTGCGCGGTTCAATTATTCCGAAATAAATGTGTCTCAACAATTAATTAAAGCGCCATAAATTGTCAGAATGTAAGGAGAGTCACCAGTAGATGAATAATAAGCGGCTAACGAGCACGAAATTATAATAAAAATGTCAGCGTAGTCGAAAATTAGCCTCCAGTCTCGCGGCTTACGCGTCTTGTGCTCCTCCCACTGCCAGTTTTGGCGCGATGTTTGATGAAATTTATGACGGAATAAGCAGCGTAATTGAAGCGTACTCAGAAATATACAGAAACGTGCGGGTGGCAGAATAATTGGCTAAAAGAATCTTAATGTGGCATTCAACCTTAACCGTGAGGCGAAGCCAATCCCAAGCGAAAACAAATCGACATCTGCATAACGCATACGCAGCGTTGAACCGGTTGCTGCTTGAAAATACTTTCACATGCAGCATTTCCGTACGCAGCAAGTTGCACAACAACTGAAACTGCAACTGCAACACTGTCACCTTGACTCTGAAACGTGCCTGCCCCCAACGGCTGCCCCACCGGAAAGCCACTGTTGGACTGTTTGTCCACGGATGCCATTTGTTTGTCCAGCTTGTCTCTCCCCCCCCCATTTGGAGCAGTTTTTCACTAATCAACGACATTAACGCTTTACTTTGCAGCTGGCATTCGTTGCCCTGGCAGCGTTTATCTCTGAGATTGGAGCCAGTCAGAGTCCCAGCTCCAGTCAGTACCACATCCAGACGGATGAGGGGCCCGAGCGGTATTTCCGCTTCCAGACGGACAACGGACAGTTCCGGAAAGAGAAGCGTCTGCAGGATGGCACTGTCATAGGTGAGTGGACTGCCGTCAATGGTATTAAGTGATGATCACTCACCTTTCACTCTCTATCCCCTCTCTTCCAGGCACAGAGGCTTGGATCGATGCTGCGGGGTATCTGCGGCAGAAGGATTACATAGCCGACAAACAGGGCTATAGAATTCTCAAGTCCAAGACCATCTATGTGGGACAGGGACGTCCCATTGAGGTATGCTTATGCTGCCACTCTCCACGCCCAACTTCTCTAATAATAATCTTCCACAGGATGCCATTAAATCCACAAAGGCAGCGCCTGCACAGTCCGGCATACTGGTCAATGGGGGATCCTCGGGTGCTGGTTCCAGAAACACCTTTGGGGGGTACCAAAGACCCGCCTATGGCTACGTAAGTTCCACAACTTCGACCACCACTCAAGCTCCTCCTGTGGACTTGCAGCTGGACTTGGATCCACTGGTGGACTCTGGCGTGGGAAAGCTCAACTATCTGCCACCAGAAGAGGCAGCCAAGATCCAGCCACAGTCCCAGCTGGGCTTCGATCACTATCCGGATGAGCTGCCTCGGGCAAGGGGCCAACTGTTGTCTGGTCAGCACACGCCGCTGGTGCACATCCAGCCGAATGCAGAACCCGTGGACAATGGCCTCAATGCCATCAACGTGTACGATGCGGAGGCGGATCGGGACTTTGGCCATGGACAATTTGGATCGGTGATCAGCTCCACGACTCCACAACCTCCGCTGCTGTCGATGCTGCCACCCTTGGGCTCTCCGCACAGACGCCGCCTGCGTCCGCGTCCCACTGCCATTGGGATTGTGGCGAGCACTCCATCGCCCATTGCTGCCGGGGATTCCTATGGGTTCTCTGTTCCAGCGCCATTTGCTGCACCGCCATCGGCTGCGCCGCCTTCTGGCTATCAGTATGCCCCCGCAGCCACGCCCTTAACGAGTGGCTATGCTCCCTCCCCAGCCTCCAATAATGGGTATGGCTACTACACGCCCAATTCCCCGCTGGAGGTTAACTCTCTGGAGGCTGCTCTACTGCCACCGCTGCCTTCTCGTGCCTACCGCCGCCGTCTGCGTCCCGTGCAGAGCAATCACTTGGACGAGCTCAGTGCCGCGGGCTACGATGGTGTGGGCACCACTCGCAATGGTTTCCGCTATGTCCTGCCAAAGCAGTACCACGAGGAGGAGACGAGCCCAGCGGATGGCAAGCGGGCAGGCAGCTTCGGCTACGTGGACCCCTTCGGCATTCGTCGCGTGGTCTACTACAATGCCTCCCCAGGACGGGGCTTCATTCACAGGAATAACAATCAGTATGTGGGTGCGAATGGGGCGCCCTACGATGAGCCGGGTCCAGCGCAGCTGGTGAATGAGTAGAGTTCTCCCAAACAGTTAATCCTCCCCGAAACACTGCCTCCCTTCCTCCAAGTGGAGCCTCTCTCTCTCACACATGAAGCACCAAAACTAACCGTAGAACCTCAGAATAACACTTAAGATTAACCATGTACATAATCCCCGCTTTTAGCATCGTTCTCTCTCACTCTCTCTGTCTACCACACACACACACACACACACACAAAGAAAACGACATCTGTGTTAATTAATTTAATGATTAAACACGTTTAAATGTAAATTAATTTATAAACGAAAACTTTTTGTGCAATTAGCGCCTAGAATTAGGTACATTAGGGTTACACTGCAGCTCATTGCAGTGCTGCCGTTCAGTAGGAGCATTCGTTTCATGTATTAATCTTGCCATATTAACGAAAAGTAATTAAACAAAACGCTCACTCCCCCACACCCAAGCCCAAACATTAATCCAATCCTTAGCATATATGTAAAGCGATATAGAACCGATAATGATGCACCGTTTCTTTGCCAATAGCTGTTCATTGAATGTATGTAAACCGATTTGTTAAGATCATAGCGAATATTTTTCTGTTTGTTGTAGAAAAATGAGCACCCGTTGCCAAGAAACCTCCAGCGAAGTACGACAAAGATCTTTGCGTAGTTAATTAAGCAAAATGTATAATAATAAAATAAAAGAAATAATTATTTAAATGTCAATTGAATGGGGAATTGTTTTGTTAGGGCAGCCAAAGAATTATTTACTTGTCCAATTCTAATTTGTCAAGGAGAACTTCGATTGCCGGAAACCATATGGCAGGGCGGCTCTATTTTTTGGGTAAATTGTGATCTCAGTAGGCTGATTATATTCACCTTTTCTGCTAACTCTCACAACAACTTCGAATCCCGTGCAGTCTCTGTTTAAAACTCGATTTGCTTCTCAAGTTCTTTATTTCCCAAATTTTATTTACGGAAAAGAATCAACCTTCTGGTGAATAGCCATGAATTTGCTGCCTTTATTGTTGCTCTTACTGCTCGTCACTTGGCATCCGCTGAAGACTGAGGCAGCGAATATACTGTGCCTCGTGGGCACTGCACGTCACAATAATCCCGGCTGGACACAGGCGCTCTTCGAGGCGCTGGCTGAACGCGGCCACAGCCTCACCGTGCTGAGCACTGCTCCAGCTCCAAAGCAGAAAGTGAAAGGCATAACAGTGTTCCCGCTGCCCAACGATTATGATGTGGTGTACAAGTACTTTGTCAGCCGCACATCCTCTTATAGCTCGGTTTTCACTGCACAGCAAATGTTTGTCTGGCACGACGTACCTTTGGGCAGCTGCCGTTCGGTGTTGGAGTCACCAATGCTGGCCAAGCTGCGTGCCCAGCTAATCGACGAGGTGGCCGATCAAGATCTGATTATCTCCGATGCCACCAATGGCATAGAGTGCCTGCTGCCGCTGGTGCCCAAGGCTCGTTCTATTCCCATTCTGGGCGTGAGTGGCGGCAAGCTGACGTCGACTCTATTGAAGTTGGTGCGGGCTGAGGACACCATCAATGTGGCAAGGGTTCCACATCCCATAAGCCAGCTGCCGGAACAAATGGACTTTGTGGGGCGCTGGCAAAACTGCGGCTTGTATTTGCTGGAGAAATTGTAAGTGATCTTCGACATGGAAAGTGATTCTGATACTGACTGCCTCTGCCTTAGACTTTCCTGGTCCGATATTTTTACCATTACCAGGGGCGCAGTGGCACGCAAGGATTATGTCTATCCACCACTGAAGTTGATGCTGCTGAACACCCACTCCACACTGGATTACGCACAGAATCTCCCAGCCAGCGTGATCGAAGTGGGAGGCCTTCACATTTGGCCCAAATCGAGGCCTCTGCCAGCTAACATCCAAAAATTCGTGGATAAATTCATCAATGCGATAGTCTACCTTAATTTCCCCCACATTGATCTGTTCTTTGGTATTGGGACCAAGGCTGTGTTGAAAATGGCCCAGCGGCATCCCACCTATGGCTTCATTTGGAATGTGGAGAATGTCAAGGAGCTGCCCGAGAAGAGGAACAACATTTTGACGCTGCATGTGGATGCCAGACTGCAGCAGGATATTCTAGGCAACTCTTAAGGGTATACTTTCCTCTTCGATAAATTATTGTAAATATTTTCCTCTACAGCCCAATCCGGTGTGAAGTGCTTCCTCAATCATGGCGACAGTTTCAGCCTCCAAGAGGCAGTCCACCATGCCGTGCCCGTGCTGGTTATTCCACTGATACTTGAACAATTTAATGTAGGAGGTCCCCTTTGATTCTTTTATACTTCCATCTAACATCTCCCCTCATCCGCAGAACGCTCTGCGCATCCAAGAACGCAATCTTGGAGTCATTCTACCGACCAACACTTTCTTTGAGCTGACCATGTCCAGAACCCTCAAGCGTGTCCTCAATAATCAGACGATCTACGCTGCTGTCTCCCAGGCTCAAGTTAAATTCCGTACACGTCCGATGCCACCGCTGGATCAGGCCGTGTGGCATGTGGAACATCTGATCACCGAACCCGAACTCTATAGCCAGCTGGCCAGACCATCCGTCAACTTTGTGGTGTCCCACTCGCTGGATATTTTGGCCATTCCAGCCTTAGCTCTGCTGATATTCCAGTTGATACAATCCAACGACGAGTCCCTGAAATCACATCCCCAGAAGCGTGTACACTATACTCGCGAAAATAATGGCAATGAGATCCCTTATGCGACCTGGGAAGACAATGCCACACACACTGGCAATGTGACTCGCTCGCCAGAAGAGAATTCTTCAGATATTGATGAAACATTGGGGCAGCGCGTGAAGAGTCGCCTGGAGAAGAAGACGGACTAAATACTTAACACATTGATTGATCTTTAACTATTGTATATTCCAAGAACAACTGACTAATAAATAATCTATGAATCTCTAAAGAAAACTCTTTTTCTACATTTCTTGTACATGCAATTTTTGGCACAGCCCAAAAGTTGGCCATACTCTACGACCCTGGACTGCTCTCTCAATCTCTGGATTAACAAAGAGCGAGGGATTTTAAGAGCGAGCTCAACGGCAGGTAAGCCGAGCCACAGGTAGGCACGATGACTCCCTGGCCCGAACACATTTTATGGCAACAACTCAGACAAAAGACGACCACGAATGCGCTTGGCCAGCAATTAAAATCGATGCCTTCAGTGCGTTTCTAGAACTCTCCGCTGCAAGAGCTATAAAACTGTGACTGTAAAAATGCTAACGAAGCTGCTGAAAATCAGCTGCACCTCGAGGCAGTGCACCTTTGCCAAGCCCTTTGAGGCCATGCCGGGACCACGCGGCCCTTGGGGCTTGGGCAATCTCTACAACTACATGCCGGGCATTGGCTCCTATTCCTTTCTGCGACTGCATCAGGCTGGGCAGGACAAGTACGAGCGTTATGGAGCGATTGTCAGGGAGACCATGGCACCAGGCCAGGACATTGTTTGGCTGTACGATCCCAAGGACATTGCCACGCTGCTGAACGAACGAGACTGTCCTCAGCGGCGCAGTCATTTGGCACTCGCTCAGTACCGGAGACAGCGTCCGCATGTGTACAAAACCACGGGTCTGCTGCCCACCAATGGCCCCGAGTGGTGGCGTCTCCGCTCACAGCTGCAGAAGGAGCTGAGTGCGCCGAAGAGTGTAAGGAACTTTATACCCCAAGTGGATGGTGTGACGCGAGAGTTTTTGGCATTCCTGAGGGAATCCTCGAGCAATGGAGATGCGATCGATATGCTGCCGAAGCTAACAAGATTGAATCTGGAACGTAAGTGGAGAAAAAAACATCGAACTGTGACGTTTCTTATATGAGTTCCCTTCCAGTTACTTGTCTGGTCACCTTTGGTGCCCGCCTGGACTCCTTCTCGCCAGAGGAACAGTCTCCCCACTCACGATCCACGCAGCTGATGCACGCTGCCGAGACCACCAACAGCTGCATACTGCCCACAGATCAGGGCCTGCAGCTGTGGCGGCTCATGGAGACACCCAGCTATAGGAAGTTACGGAGAGCACAGTCATACATGGAGAGCGTGGCCCTCAAACTGATGGAGAACTGCTCCCCAGAGCAATCCTCTCTGATTTCCACGTACCTACAGAATCCAGAGCTCGATCGCAGCGATGTGGTCGGCACTGCAGCGGATCTCCTTTTGGCTGGCATCGATACCACCTCCTATGCCTCTGCATTTCTGCTCTACCATGTGGCGCGGCATCCGAAGGTGCAACAGAAACTCCATGCGGAGGCGAGAAGAGTGCTGCCCGATCCCGATCAGCCGCTCTCTGCGGATGCTCTACGCACGGACATCACCTACACGAGGGCAGTGCTGAAGGAGTCGCTGCGCCTGAATCCGATTTCCATTGGCGTTGGACGAATACTCAACCAGGACACGGTGCTCAGTGGCTACTTTGTGCCCAAGGGGGTAAGAATTTTCACATCTTTAAAGAGTTCCTAATGAGATTCTCTCTTCTGCAGACCACAGTTGTGACTCAGAATATGATTGCCTGTCGCTTGGAGCAGCACTTTCCGGATCCCCTTCTCTTCCAGCCGGATCGCTGGCTCCAGCAGCGCAATGCCCTCAATCCCTACCTGGTGCTGCCCTTTGGCCATGGAATGCGCGCCTGCATAGCTCGTCGTCTGGCTGAGCAGAACATCCATGTGCTGCTCTTGCGGGTAAGCACACAAACAGCGACGATCTTTGATCGTTTCCCAAAGCAATTTGTTAGTCAAAACGATCTCTTCTCAACCGATTTGCATTTTCCAGCTGCTGCGTAACTTTGAGCTGATCTGGCGAGGCGGTTCGGATACCGAATTGGATGTCGTCACGCTGCTGATAAATAAACCAGATGCTCCCGTGCTGATCGAACTTCGGCCGTGTTCCAAATGATTTGCAAGTCTGAAAAGTACGAGAAGTTCAGTTCAGTTAATTCAGTTTCGGTTTTAAATAAATTGTTTATATTAATTAATAATTAGAATTAGTGTAAATCATACAACTAGATCTTGCATCTTATGTGATGGAAAGGCTGCGGGTGTTTTGGTCTAATTACTAAGGAAATTCATTCCATGAAAAATACATCAAAATGGTAGGCTAGTGTTTTCAACTAAAAATGTAAAGAAATTATTTTCAACCGAGGTGCGATGTCGCATAACGCATAATACTCGACAAAATCTTTAATTTGCTGTGTGGGCTCATCCAAGGGTTGTCTCTGCCTCCCAGTGTTTGGGTTGTTTTGGTTTGATTAATTTGATAAATTTCTTCGAGTATTTCTTTGTTCTAATTTGTTATAGGAATTTTAATGGAGATAGTGTGACAACCCTGGAGTAGAGCCCAGCATTTACACGCGTATAGTATAGTGTGATGACTAAATATTCAGTTACAATGTTTTACATATAATTATAGATGTATTCCATTTGGGATTGTTAAGTGTATATGGCTCTATAAAAGTGGTCCGTCCGACTAAGCCCCCCATTCTGTCTCTCCAGCAAGTACAGTCTCGCAGTGAAAACCTCTATACAAACTACTACCTGTTTCGCGTACTTTCAAGTCAAAAATATATATCGTTGAGGGATGAGAGCGCATTTCGAGCCTCCATCCTTTATATACTGTGATGCACTCCTATCTGTGTTACCATTTCTAATCAGATCTAACCTATAAGGACTTTGGTTGTTTGCCGCACTACTCGCTAGGATGATTGGTGAAAAAATACATCTAGATATACAATACAGGTCCTCGGGTGGAGCTGCTCCACTAACTATGGTGAAAAAATAAATGTTTAATCTGTTTTGTTCAGAAGACATCTTTCCCAGGAAGCAGTTCGAGTCGAGTCTCCTGCGACTATGGCTATCGTTGAATATGTGTGTGTGTGTGTGTTCGATGAGAGGATGAGATATGATTCTGCCCTCCGTTTCGTCCGTGTTCTGCTGCTGGAGCTTATTACAGTTCCAGTGTTCTGCTGCTGGAGCTCCTTACAGTTCCAGCAGCAGAACCTCCTCATGCTAGAGTATGTTTAGCAGCGACGAGTCCATCATCCGATCATCGTACAGACTCAGAGTCTTGCTGGCCCTGGCCTTTCGCACCGATGGTGGCACATCCCCCGGGGTCTTCACACGCTCCGCGGGATCCCTGAGTCGCTCGCTGCTACCACGACCGCTGAAAACCTCCCGGAACACCTCCAAGCTATGCTGGCGGCGCATCTGTTGCTCCGTGGGCAGACCCTGGCCCTGGCCATGGCACTGGCTCGTCACCAGCAGGGAGTTTGTGCGCAGATGACCCGGACGACGCTTGGAGGAGGGTCGTGTCAGAGTCTGCAGCTCGTTGCCATGGCTCAGGATGCAGTTGTTGTTCGTGGTGGTTGTGGTGTTGCTGCTGCCACTGTTGCTGTTGATGTGCTTGATGAGGCTGCTGGACAGAGATCGTGGCACTATATGGGCGGGAGTGCCACTCCGCTGCTCAGCACTGCGCAGCTGCACGGGCATCGGCTTGTTGTCCATCGGTTGACGTGGGCTCAGATCGAGATTGTTGGGTCGCCGCATGCCACTTCCCGCTTTGAGTGCCGCCACCAGGTTTGACTTCTCTTCGCCCAGCTGCAGTTGTCGGCACAACTCCTCCGCGTGCTCCTTGCGGAAGAGTTTCTTGTGGATAAGTGCACGGACTCCGTGCCAGCCGCGTAGCTTGTGGTCAGTGTTCTGCTGCTTGGGGAATCCCTGCCCCAGGCTGGAGTTCGTGTTGGTGTTCTTCTGATTATGATGGTGATGGGCGGGTGGGACTCCGCCGTTTGGTGGCAGCAGCTCCTCGACACCAACATCGTGCTCCAGGCAGGACAGGCTGTTCTCCTGTGGCTGTGTCTGGAAGCTGTGCTTCTTACTTCGTTCCACGAGCACCGGCGGTGGTCGCAGTGGCAGTGGCGCTAGATTCCGCTCCTGGCAAGGATTCCTCCCTTGGTACGGCTGCAGCTGCTGCTGCGTGTAGCTCAAATGATTCTTCTCCGTTGGCAGCTGTTGGTTGGGCGGCGGCTGCAGCAGTCCGGCCGTGTCCGAGCTCATCTGGTGATGCACTGCAGCCGCCGTTGTCGTTGTTGTAGTGGTCAGATTCACCTGCTCCAGGGATATGGGCGATGTCAGGTTGTTGGTGTTTAGCAGCGGACTGGCTGGCTGCACCTGCAGGCGTGGCTTCAGTCCCGACATCTCCTGCATCCGTTCTTCGGCACACAGCGACGTGAGCCTGGCATCCGCATCGTGGTCCCAGCAATCCTCACAGGTGTCTCGCACCACCTTGGCGGCTGCACCGCCACCCCAGCCGGCGGGAAAGAGCGGCCGAGCCTTGTGACGCACCACCAGCGCCTGCATCTGGTCGAAGCTGGGATGGGAGCCCACCTCCTGCTCGTATGGGGCCTTGTAGGGCGGCGTCATCTGCCCGGCGGCATAAAAGTCTGCGCAGCGAGTGGAAACCTCCCACAAAACGAGGCCGAGGGCATAGACATCCATCTGCTTGAGGGACGTCTCGCAGTCACGCAGATTGACGGCTCCCTCCAGCAGCTCTGGGGCCATGTAGCGCAGCGTTCCCACCTCATTGATGCTCTTCGTCTCGGCCATGGCCACCTCGCCCTTGTACTCGTACTTGGAGCCAAACACTTTCAGTGCGAAGCCAAAGTCCGCAATGCAACACGAGAGATCGGCCTGGACGAGCACGTTCCTTGTATTGATGTCCCGATGAGCCACGCAGGGCTTGTGCTGATCCCCCAGCCGCAGTTCCGTGTGCAGGTGGGAGATGCCACGCGTGATGGAGCGCAGCATCCCGCAGCATTGCGAAAAGTCCAAAGTGTTGGCTATCAGCCAGTCCTGAAGGCAGCCCAGTGGCGCCAGTGACAAAACCAACTGGT